CGCTGGAGCAGAAGGGGGCGGTAGGGGGGCGCTGGAGCAAGCCAAACCTGTGAAGATGGCTGCAGCCTTTTTACAATGTGCATGAATATATATTTTCCTCCTATCTTAATTTAGTTTCAGAGTTTTCGTCTTGAAATTTTTAGTTCCTGCATTGTGGTTTGTTTTTATGCCCTTTTAATATTTCTTTTTGAGTCTTAAAATTCGCTTGCAACTAAATCATTAAATGTTACTTTTTGGGGGCATTTCATTTTCTTGGAATTGAATTTTGTTTTCAGGGGTCATTGGATTTAAGTGTCTTAAACAAACAAACAAAAAAACAAACAAAAAAACAAACAAACAAATAAGATATCATCATCGTGGGGAGGGGGGCGATGATAACTTCCTCAATGGCTCAAGGGGGCGTTTCTTTCAAAAAGGTTAAGAACCACTGCTCTACATAGCCATTAATAAGCCAATATTCAGCAGCAGAGGCATTGTTTCTTGTTTCTCCCCTTGCCTACCCCACAGCCTCCTTTGAATAAGGCCCAGTATTGTGAAGAGAGGGAATTGCTCTTCTTTGCTCGGTCTTTTCCTCTCTTGTTGTCTTTACCTTTAAACACTTGAAAGCAGCTTCTAGTCTCTAACGCAAAATATGAATTCTCTTTGTGGAACACAAGCAAACAAATTTCTCTTTCCACATGCTCTAGGTCCGTCTTCCCCAACCAGGTGACCATTTGATGTTTTGGGCTAAGCGTGTGATCATGTTTCATAGTTGACTGTGCTTCCTGGGACTGATGTGAACTGTAATCTGAGCACCCGATTAGAAAAGTCTGCTCTAGATGAAGAGAAGAAGGACTTCCCAAAGGAGTGCAGCACAGTGGCACTTACTTGCTAGGAGAAGTGGTTAAGCTGTGTTTTCAGCCTCGGGTTTGTGCTGTGAAATGTGATGAATAACACTCTTCCTTGCAGGACTGGGTACAAGGTCAAACTGCTTTTAATGTCAAGAAATGCTTTTTCTTAGATCGAGAATAATGAACTCAAAAGAACAAAGAACGGAAAGTGGATATGGTCATTAGGATTAGGGGTTTTAATATTCTTATATTTATTTTTGCAGATTCTTACAGTGGTGCTTCATAGTCTTCATTCCCAACTTCTTGTGCCCTGTAGCCTTATGGGGTTGGTCACTCTCTTACCATTTCACACTTGAGACTATGACTTTGCTGGGCTCCTGCTGTGTAGAAGGAAGCTCTGCAGATACATTTAGTGTGAATTGTCATTTTTGTTTCTATTTTTAGCCAGATTGATTTCCCTATGTCTCTTCCAGCTGCTCAGAAAGCCAGGGAACAATTTGAAGAAGCAGAGAAGTCACTGAAAGAAATGGAAGAATCTATCAGGTATGGTTCTAGACTATAAGACCCAACTTCTCTGTGCTGTGCTAGGTTTCCATATAGGGGAAGAAGCATTTCCTCCTTGCACCTTGTCCTTATTTGTTTGTACCCCTGGCATGGTTTCATTTTTTTTACCCACAACCCCTTTGCCATGCTTCAGAACTATCCATTGGGCATGTGTGTTTTTAGTACCAGTTTCTCTCACATGTTTTAAAACGGATAAGCCAAACTTGGTAGTGCTACCTGTAGGTGTTGGAGCCAGTTGCTATACAGTGCATTTAATATATATTTAAAGAGGATCTATTGATGTTCCTACATGCTGTGAATTGAGTCACTGAGATTGTCAGTGAGGTAAAGAATGGCAAGAAATCATTGGAAATACTGAAATGGCTGTAAGGTATTGGTAAATGCAGTAACGTATTGGACCTGTTTTCAAATAGACAGCATGCTCAAGGCCAGTCTGTATGGCAAGTGACACAATTATAGGAGCTGGAACAAAAAAGGAAATGATGAATGTCTTCCAGTCTCTCATACCAGTTGCATAGAGACAGAGCACAAGGAAAGCCTCCATTGGAACCCTTGGATAAGGGCCATTATGTGATGGGAGAAACTTACCAATAATAGCATCCAGGACCTTCTCTCCCCAGCATTGGAAACACATGAATCTCTCAGTCACTGTACCATCACTTCCCAGCTTCATCCACTGTGTCTCATACCAGCAGAAAGAGGGGTAACAAAATCAGTAGGGCCTACCGGTACAGTGGTGCATTGACTTACAAACTTCATCAGTTCCTGAAGATGGTCGTAAGTTGAAGCACTGTTTCCCGTAGGAATGCATTGAAATGCAATTAGTCTGTTCCGGCCGAAGAAAAAAAAATCACACACAAAAAAACCAAACAAACTGCAAGACAAGACCCATTGGAAATGCTTTTAATCTGTTCTGGCTGAAGGGGGGGGGGAAGAAAAGCAAGCAAACCATGCAAGACCCATTGGAAATGCAAAAAAGCAAAGCAGAAAGCAAGCAAACTGTGCAAGACCCATTTGATATGCAAAAAAGTAAAGCAGAAAGCAGGCAAACTGTGCAAGACTCATCAGAAATGCAAAAAAGCAAAGCAGAAAACAAGCAAACTGTACAAGACCCAGCAGAAATGAAAAAAAAAAGCAAAGCAGAGAGCAAGCAAACCGTGCAAGACCCATCAGAAATGGGGGGGACCCAAAAAGCAAACCCTCCAAGACCAATCGGAAATGGGAGGAAACCAAAATGCAAACAACCCCCCCAAGACCCATTGGAAATGGAACCCTAAACGCAAACAATCCCCCTAAGACCCATTGGAAATGGGGGGAAACCCCAAAAAAGCAAACAAGCCCCACAAGACCCATCACAGCATAGAAACATAATCCCACCACCCAGCCCAAAACCACACTGCAAAACCTACCCAGAACCATTTTTAAAAAGCAGAAAGCAGCACCTTACTTTACCAGGCAGTCCAAAGCCTCCTCCAATTGCACTCACTCTAACCATTTGGGCAAAAGCGCTACAAAGAACCAGCCTCTTCCAATGGTTAGCAATTTGAATTCCCCAACTTTTTCCCTGCCTTTTTTGGTTATAACTCGAAATTGTGGTATGTCGGGATGTTCGTAAGTCAAGGCACCACTGTATATCTGAACTCATCAACCCTGGGGAAACATCAGTTGATGTGCTGCTGGAACTGGTCAGCAGGCATTTACACAACATGCTTTCAAAAACAGGTGTCTGAAGCATCTTCAAATCCTTTTTCTTCTTGCAAGGACAGAATGATGATTAAACGAGATTACAAACCTTTTGGTCGTGGACAAAGCATAAACAACATTCCTTGCATCTCGTGTATATTTATTGATTGATTTGATTTGATTTGATTTGATTTGATTTGATTTGATATGATATTTGATTTGATTTGATTTGATTTGATTTGATTTTTTGTCCCGCCCCTCTAGACTACGGTACATCTACTCTACTATATATGTCCCATTCTCAAGCAATTGTCCTCAAATATGCTTTATTGGTTTAGCAAGGGAGATGGTTGTGGGGGGTTGCCCCCAGGTTACTTTCACAGCTGAGCAAGAATGGGGAAACACCTCCTGTGGACCAGATGATGTCAGGGTGTATGTCCAGACCACCTGATTTCATGGCATTCCTGTCCAGGTTCCAGGTGCAGCTTTTCTATCAAACCCTTGTGCCAGAATCAGGCTTCTCTGTTTCTTTCCATTCAAGGAATGGAACAGAATCTTTCCAAAATATCTTTCTGCACGGTATGCTTCCTAGAGTCTAGGCCAAGTATGCCATCCCAGCTTATTCTCCCTCCTCATGTATATCCCTATGTGTGTGCATCTCTCTCTGTGTGTATATGTGACACATCAAGATGAATATCAGCCTGAGTGCATTATCCTATTTAGGGAAGCAAGTGAAGTCATTGGTCTCATCCACCCTTAGTTAATGAATATCTGATGTTGCTTTTCAGCCTTGCCTTACATTACTGGGGTGGGTGGGGGGAGTAGATGACTGTACAACAAATGTACATTTTGGGCAGATGATGATGAAGAAAGTGACCCACACTTTTTGCCAATTTCTCCTAAACCTTAAATAATTTCTCTTTCGGTCCTGCAATACCTTTTTCTTCCTGACATGACCCTTTTTGCCTCTCTCACGCTCTTCTCCTTTGGTTTCAAACAATAGTGTCCCTGGCCAGCTGTTCACTCATTTCTTACACAGGAAAGTGATCTGGATAAATGGCACCCTTGTGTTGTCTAAGTCATTTTCTGAGGGACTGTAAGGGTCTTTCCAGGACTAATTTCAGTGTCATGGGTCTAAGCCATGTAGGCCACCTGCCTTGCTTTGCCATTGTCACCTCCACCCAGCCAAACAATGCTCAAATTAGAAGATGCCATTTTTGCTCCCTCTTCTATCATTTTATTTATGGGAGTAAAGCATAATGGATACTTCAAGGACCCATGTACTTAAGATTTGTTGTGAATTCTGCTGAGGGTCACAAGGCAGCTTTCCCTGATGAAGGGTCAGAAGCACTGGTTTCTAAAATCCTCCATTCCTGGCCGTTTCTGTCATTGCTTCTTGCTACCTTGGCGTATCTCAACTTGGATGCTAGTTTCTGATTTTCCGATAAAGAGGAGAAGAATACGCAGTGCGGATCTGCTTTGGGGGCTTGGGCATCGCTCTGATGCCACTTGCCATTCAAATTACATCTTTTTCTCTCTTCTCTCTTTCAGTCCTGAGTTGGGGGAGGGGAGAAGCAGAGAAGGCAAAAATAATTTCAAGCTGTCTCCTATTGATTGCATACATAATTATTGCTGTAATCACACTACTCCTGAGCTCTTAGGCTAGGAGGGCTGATGCAGAGAGCAGGTGGGAGAGCTCTGCATGCTTAGCTTGGCTGACCTTGGTGACCGGCACTTCATTTAGCTGTTGGGGGATGGCACACTTTACTGATTTGTGCCCTATTCTCAGTGGAAAGGCTGGATATTCACAATGGCAAATATATGTGTTGCCCTAAATGGAGCCTGGTTGTTTTGTCTGTTCCCTCAGTTTAAACCTTTGTGACATGATGGAACAACCATGGCCCTTTTGGTGGTATATTTATTTTGCAAGTATTCTGAATCTGCTCTTAATCATTACCTTGTTCATTCTTCTGCTGCATCGTGAAAATGGCTTTACACACTTGCAGGTGAATTGAGAGATTTGTCAGATCAACAACTGTTCCCCCCGCCAAATACAAAAGTCTGTGAGCAGTTTCCTTTTGTCTGTTGAACCTTTGATTCTCACAAAGGATCCCCTGGGAGAGGGGTATATTTTAAATAAGTCTTAACACTGAAATGTCACTGGGGAAATGTGAAACCAGGAAACCAGCTATAAAGCAGTTGTTAGAATGCATCTGGAATATATTTTCACCTCCCTCAACCATGGGGAGCTTCTCTTTCATAAATCTTCTTGTAGTATTCTGTTGTCTATGCCATTGCAGATCTCTGATTACTTAGTTTTTTAAAAAAACCTTTTATTCTGAAAGTTGAATAAACAAGTTCAACCACCAAAAATATATATAATCTTTCTTCTCCACTAGTTTTGGCAGCTTTGCAAAGTGCATTGTATACAGAGGCCTAGATCAAAGCATTGCATTCTGGAAGCCCAACATTTCTACCTCTATGAAAGGTAGCTCAGCAATTTTTGTAGCATAGTTGGGTCGGAATAGCAGGCCAGGGGTGGTTGTGGGTGTTGCCTCTAGAAATGAGCTTGGGCTGCGTTTCTGTAGCAACTTCTCATTTCTACACAGGACATATCTAGCATTGTCTCACTCTCCGTGTTCCTGTGCCTTTGGAACATATTTCTCTGGAAAACTTTTGCAGATACACACAAATTGCAACTCTGTCAACAAAGTCTCATTTGCTGACAGTGATATTTCATCCATGAAAGCTGATGCCATAGTCAATGTGTTGGCCTTAAATGTACCACGAGACTCTTGGATATTTATGTAAGAAAAATGATTGATCAGGTTTGTTCTGACTGGAGCACCAAATGTAAACTAGACCCGTTAAGACTTTGCGAGATGGCTTCGTCACTTCAGATAAGGGCACTCACATAGCTGGCTGTTCTTCAGGAATTCTCACCAAATAGTGCCCCTTCCCTGAACGGAGAAAGTAAAGTAGGTAGACCCTCAGTCCCTGATTTGCTGATTTTTAATACTCGGGGAGAAGGGCTAGCTCTGGGAGAGAGTTCTGATGGAGTTTGTAGTCGTGCAAGCCATTCCCCACCGCACGAGCCTTTTGAAGTGGTGCCAAGATGCATGTTTTACCACCTTTGGGAGGGCAAAACCCTAAAACAGCAGGTGCAAAACAAGAGCCTTAATTGAAGCCCTTCTTCAAAATTGTCTCCATATGAGGTGATTCCCACCCAGACGGACCTCGGCTGTGGTTTCAACACAAATTGCCCCTCCCCACCCCAGGGAGATCTCTGCCTTGGCCCATTAGGAAGGCTTTTAGGGGTGGGAGTGGAGAAGAGGCTGTGTTAGTGAAGTAAATGGCTAATGGAAGGCTGGAGTAGCAGCTGAGACCTGTTTTGTTGGTGTCATTTTTCAAAGCGTTTCTGTGTTTTTCTCCTCCGATATCAAGGGGCACCCCTTCCCTTTCTCTCTGTAGTCAGCCCCTTGGTTCAGGGCTGCCATCCGCCTTTTCTTCAAAGGGCTTGGCATGGCTGGCTGTCCTTGCCCATCTCTTTCCTTGTGACATTCTTGCCATTGTAGGCGGCTGCTGTTCATTTCTCATAGGTTGGGGACTGAATAAACACCTCCAGGGCATGCAAAGGCTGTAGGTTTGGACATCTGGTGTGCAAAGGGAAATGGTGAGGAGGATGGGTGTGGATCCTCCAGATGATGGAGAACAGAGTTGGTGGCACAATGAAGCAGAGACAGCAGGAC